AGCGAATCCAATTCTCTTAGCCTCTCGATCTTTCTGGACTTTATACCCTCTCTGACATACAGAGCCACCCCACCTCCAACCCTTCCCCCCCTATCCTTCCGATATAATATATAACCGGGAATCACCGTATCCCACTGATTTTCCTCATCCCACCAAGTTTCTGAAATACCCACAATGTCTATTTTTCCCTCTGACACCAAGCACTCCAACTCCCCGATTTTACCTCGGACACTTCGAGCATTTGTATAGAAACAGCTGTAATTTCCCATACTGGTTAAGCCTGCCACCTTCCTCTTGCAATCTCGAGACCTTGTCAGGCAGTCCATGTCACTAGCCATGGTCTCAGTGGACAATTTCAATCCACCTCCCTGTAGAAAAGCAACAGGTACCCCCTCATCTCTCTGAGATGAGCCAACCCGAACCAGAGACTTTTCATCTCCTGTCGGCTTTCTGTGGGTGCTGGGGACGGGGGGCAGGGGAGAAGGCTCACCAGCAGCTGCTTCCTTCTCCTCCCCTGGAGCTTCTCCTCCCCGCACCCCCACGTATCACGGGTCCCCCTTCTTGTTTATTCTAATGATGTTACCCACCCTGCCCCTGCCCGCGGGATGGGCGGGATATAAATGCAAATAATAAATAAATAAAGTGCACTGAAAGTGGAATATTTAGTGAGTGCGACCACAGGCCCAGCTGAACCATGGGGATGGAACGTACTATCAAGTCACAATTGACTCATGGCGACCCGGTAGGGTTTTCGAGGCAAGAGATGTTCTCGCCTCTGCGTAGACTTAGCTTCTGAGATCTAACAAGATCAGGCTAACCTGGGTCATCTAGCTCAGGGCGATGCTCTCCACAAGCACAAATCCCAGCCCTTCTCATTGAAATGTGGTGTGGCCTGACTGCTATTTTGCACATTCAAAACGAAAGGGTGTCATTAGTGCTGCACACCCAACTATCCACCAACCCAAACTACCCAATTTGGACTGTGAGCTGTCCCATGACAGGATATTTTAAACATACATTTATTTATTTCATGTTATACCCTGCCCTTTTTTCCATCTGGGGAGCCAAACTCACTGACATCCTTCTGCTTTCCTCCATTTCATCCTCACAACAACTCTGCGAGGTAGGTTAGGCTAAGCGTTGGCCCAGGGTCACCCAGCAAGCTTCCACTGCATTGGGGGGATTCCTCAACAGCTGCGTACAAGAGTGAATTTCAAAAGGTGTGCCATTTCTCAATAGCACCTGCACAAGATCCCAAGTATAGGCAAATTACTCCAAATAAAAGATGATTTAATCTGTGATTACAGGAATTTACCACGCTACTGTAGTATTTTTTGCAGATTAATCTTTGGGACCATGTGGACTAAGAAAACCCTTCAACATTCCTTGTAAACTGAAGCTGCTTTCTCAGTGCACTGCCAGATTCCCTCCAAGATGGCACATTGTACAGTATGTACATTTCCAAAACCGCTCTATCTAGCTGATAACCTGTTCCACAGCATTTGCACACTACAGAAGAGGGCAACCAGGATGGTGAGAGGGTTGGACTCCAAGTCTTATAAGGGAAGGCTGAAAGAGTTGGGTATGTTTAGCTTGGGAAAGAGAAGGCTTAGAGGGGACATGATTGCAGTCTTCAAATATTTGAAGGGCTGTCATGTGGAAGATGGAGCAGATCTATTCTCTCTTGCTCTGGCTTGCAAGACTAGATCTAATGGGTGGAAATTACAAGGGTGTCGATACCAGCTAAATATCAGGAGAAACTTCCTAACTGTCAGAGTGGTTGAGCAGTGGAACAGATTGCCTCGGGAGGTGGTGGATGATCCTTCGCTGGACGTTTTCAAGCGGAGGCTGGACGACCATCTTTCGGGTATGTTGTAGGGGGGCTATCTTTCGGCTACGCTCCTGCAGAGTGAGGGGGCTGGACTAGATGACCTGCAAGGTCCCTTCCAACTCTAACATTCTATGATTCTACAGATGTCTAAACATGACCTGTTTGACCTTCAAATGTACCAATATGACTTTAACATGGCCAGCTAAAAGAGTCAGGAAACTTTCATTCCGGCAGATGGGGCTCCCTACGGAAATGATGGCTCATAGAATTGTAAAGGTGGAAGGGGCTTTAGAGATCTCCAGAAGAGCAGGTAGAGAAAGAGGTACTTTTCTCCCTTTCTCACAATACAAGAACCCGTGGGCACTCCATGAAATTGCTGAGCGGTCGGGTTAGAACGGATAAAAGGAAGTACTTCTTCACCCAAAGAGTGATTAACACTTGGAATTCACTGCCACAGGAAGTGGTGGCAGCTACAAGCATGGACGGCTTCAAAAGGGAATTAGATAAGCATATGGAGCAGAGGTCCATCAGTGGCTATTAGCCACAAGGTATAGATAGGGACTCTGGGGCAAGTGATGCTCTGTCATCTTGGTGCTTGGGGGGGGTCAACAGTGGGAGGGCTTCTAATGTCCTGGCCCCACTGGTGGACCTCCTGATGGCACTGGTATTTCTGGCCACTGTGGGATACAGAGTGTTGGACTGGATGGGCCTTTGGCCTGATCCAACATTGGCATCTCTTATGTTCTTATGTTCTTATGTTCTTATGTTCTTATGTCCAACCCACTGCTCAGTGCAAGAAATCCAAAGCTACAACGTATTTGAGAGAAGATGGCTATCCAGCGTCGGCCTGAAGACTCCCATAGGAAAGTCTGTCTGCTTCTCTCCTCCAATTGAGGAGATCATTCCATTCTTAAACTGTTTTTACTGATAAGGAACTTCTCCCATTGCTCAGTCTACCCTCCTGTAACTTAAGCCCTCTACAGCATCAGAGGATAAAACTTTGCCCTCTTCAACATCATCTTTTATTCCCACAGCTGAAATAATCTACAGGAATAGTTTGCTTGCTCATGCAATCGAGCATGGAGACTGGAGAAGGAAGAGAATGGAAATGGTGAATGATCTAACACAGGTGGGTCAAAATCCAAATTGGGAAATGGATTTCTCAAAGGAACATGTATTATTTTTTTACCCTGTGCTTCTTCCACCAGAGTCATTGCTCAAATCGGAGGGGGGGGGGGGAAGCAGGAACAATACAACTGCAACACCACAGAGCACTTGCTGAATAGTTCCTACTTGGAGAACGGTTCCTACTTCCCACAATGAACTTCTTATCCCTCTCCGTCAGAACTTTGAATTAAGCACAGCTGGCAAGCAGGACAATCCCACAAGGTGGCAAAAACACAGCACGGGAAGGGGGAGTGTCTTCTTTGATACATTAAAAACACATCAACCTACAACGAGCACACGGTCCCCAATCATCATTCCCTGAGTATACACAGAAAAAATTGAGAAATACAAGGGTGAAGGGGAAATATTGGTAGGAAGGCGGAGAAAACAGAGCAGCCACAAGGCACCCTCAACAGCTGGTGGCAATAAAACATTAATACTACAGAAAGCATTCAGAAGGGAATTATTTTAGAGAGGTGGAATCAAAGGCACAGAGAACTGGAAGAAGACACATAAAACTGTGTAGTATGGGGGGATGGGCACATGGGCACAGATTCGAATCTAGTAGCACCTTAAGAGACCAACAAGACCTTCACGGTATAAGCTTTTGAAAGTCAAAGTTTGCTCTGGCAGACACAAGAGTTAAATGGAGCTCTGACTCATGAACGCTTCTACCCTGAAACTCTTGTTGGTCTCTAAGATGTTACCGGACTCAAATCTAACTGTTTTACTACACACCAACATGGCTTCCTTCTGAAACAGAAGCACAGTTTGCCAGAGCAACTCTTGGAAGAGAGGCCATGAAATCAGCACAGGTTGATCTGCAGGAAGATCCAGTTCAGATCAAGGATTTGTATGGACCTATATGCAAGAAAGGGAAAGGTGTCCCAAAGAGCCTGCTTCGGCAAGGAGGGCGGGCCGCAGAGGGGTGAGGAAAGGACAGAGAAGCGTCACAGGAAAAGGGGTGTCCGCTCTGAAGTCAAGGTCGGAAAGGGTGATGACCCAACATCCTAATGCCATGTGCCATCTAAAACCACTCAGAGCTTTCTCCAAGGCGAGGGAAAGGCAAGGTGGCAGGGTTGCTGGCTAAAGGAGTGGAGAATGAAAAAGATGGGGGGAGGTAAGATAATAAGCCAAGGTGGCTCCCCTTAGGCCCAATCCGGCAAGAACAAACAGGTTATGCTTCTGTATTAAGGCAGAATCAAGCGAGGTCATTTGGCACGGACTAGCATGGGTAGGGAGAAAGGTCCCTTTTAAGAAGAAGAAGAAGAAGAGACTGGATTTATACCCCACCCTTCACTTGGGAGGCTCAGAGCGGCTTACAAACTCCTTTTCCTTCCCCTCCCCACAACAGACCTTCCCTTCCCCACAACACACCAGCAGCTGCATGTGGAGAAGTGGGGAATCAAACCCGGTTCTCCCAGATTAGAGTCCAGGATCCGAGCCACTACGCCAAACTGAATGCTTCTAGAGCTGGTATAAGGCTCTGGATAGATGAGGCAGAGCCTGTCAGAGGTGTCCCGACCAATGTTCCCTCTAAGCTGTGGGGTCTTGTGAGCAAAAATTCTACTTTGTGAGCTACTGGCATTGAAGTTGTGAGTGAATGATTTGGCTACTGCATAAATCTGTTTGCTCTGGAGCCCTCCTTCCTGAGCTAAGACAAAAATATGTGAGCCAGAAGCTAAAAAACTGTGAGCTAGCTCACACTAACTCAGCTTAGAGGGAACACTGGTCCCGACGGCGGCAAGGGAGAGACCCCCCTCCAGCACCCACCCACCCACCTCCTCTAGTGCTGATCTCTCTGTGCCAGTCGAAGGGAGGGCGGGGAGAGAAGGGGTCGGCCTTCCTTGGCTTCTCCCGTCTGGTTTAGAAGTGGCTTCTCGGGGCTCAGGAGGGGAAAGGAGGGGGGCGTGGGGGGAAGAGAGAGGGCAGGACCCCAGCCAGACAGCAGCAGGGCGCTGCCACTGCAAAGCCGGGAAGCCCGGCCCCGCTTGCAACTCACCCGGTGCCGCCGTCCACGACGCAGGGGAGCAGCTGGGTCGCCATCTTCGGAGGGGAGGGGACGGAAGGGGACCCTCCTTGCCGCCTGCGGAGCCCCAGCAGAGGCGAGAAGCAGCAGCACTGCGCAGCCGGCCGGGCTGACAGCGCCGCCCTCAACACGCCTGCGCCAAACCCCCTTCTCCACGTGATTCGTTCATGAAAAACCCCGCGTTAGCGCTCCCTAGGCAGACATTTTGGAGTGGGGCACGGCTAGGCCTCTTGCCCTTACGTTCTCCCCGCTTCCGTCACACGTACAGTGGTTGCTCGGCGACGGGACGGCGTGGAGGCCTCAGGCACGGAGGGGGGGGGGGCAACAGTTCTATAAGGCTAGGCCTGTGAAGTCTGTTGCGGTAGTAAACAGTCTTGGGCAATCAACAGCATTTTACTGTACAAATCGCTGTGGTTCTGAAAAGTTCGTTAAAATAAAATAATAAAAAATAAAATAATAAAATAGAACGAACAACTCGTTAGTCTTTAAATTGTCACTGGATTGGGGTTTCCATATTTTGAAAAGCAAGAAAGAGGACTTTTGAATTTGCAATTTACCCCTACCAGTCCAAGTGGAATTTACCCCTAGGAGTCCACCATCGAGAGCCAAGGCTCCCTCATGTACTTTAGAGCGCTGACTCTCCAAAGCTCCAAACCCTGGAAATCTCATCGGTCTCTAAGGTGCTACACTGGAGACCAACGCGGCTACCCTCTGAATCTACCTTCCAGTAGCTGCAACTCTGCCTATAGGTAAGGGGGAAACATTTTTTATTTGACCCAGGGTTTACTTAGAAGGCTTTATGGCTGAGAGGGGATTTGGACCTGGGTGATTCTAGTCAGGATCCAACCTGTTCTATCCACTTGCATTTGTTTTGACAGCAGACCGTGGCTCCTTTCAAAGAATCCTGGGATATGTAGTTCGGGTGGAGTGCTGAGCAGCCCTCTGTCAGAGATTCCCCCCCCCCCAACGACATTTCCCAGGGTTCCTTGGGGAGGGGTAAGGCAACCGTTAAACCCATCCATCATGCAGATATGGAGATGTGCTCTGTACATTTTATTCCAACAAGCATCGGGTACCTTAAAGCCACGGAACGAAAAAAGATCTCTGCTGGATCAGACCAAAGAGTCCATCCAGTCCAGGGTCTCTTTCTCCCCAGGGGTCAGCCAGTTGCCTCTGGAAAAAACTCACAAATGAGACATGAAAGCAACATCCCTCCCCTGTCACTTGTCTCCAGGGCGATTTTTGGGGCAGGAACGCACAGGAACGGAGTTCCGGCTGGCTCCCAGGTTGGCCACGCCCAGCAGGAACTCATTAGCATAATAGGCCACACCCAACAGCAGAAACTCATTAGGATTGGCTACATTAGGGGTGTGTGGCCTAACATGCAAAGAAGTTCCTGCTACAAAAAAGCTCTGGGTTTTGACAACAAACAAGGTAAACAGAATAAGAAGCAAAAGGTTGGTGTGGCTGGATGACCACACTTCTGGTAAAATGTGGGTGCGGCCTAATATGCTAATGAGTGGTGCTGTCAGGGGTGTGGCCCAATATGCTAATGAGTTTCTGCTATTGGGTGTGGCCTATTATGCTAATGAGTTCCTGCTGGGCTTTTTCTACAAAAAAAGCCCTGATAACCTATCTTTGTATTCCTGCAGTTCAATGGTTTATATTATACGATAGTTCCCGTAGGAAATACTAAAGACATTTTCCTTTTGTATGATTATTATCACAACAAACTGTTATGGTAAAATTATACACAAATTATTATGAGGTTATTATTCATGATTTATCATATAACTGACAAGACTGATAAGATAGGATTAAAATGTTACTATATTATGAGAAAATTGTAGAATGTTGAGTAGGTTGTTATAGTGGTTTCTAAAGTCATGTTACGTAATTTTCCTAAAAATCCAAGAATTTGAATCAAGGACTGCCATTTATACTTGCCAAAAATGCCCTTTATACTATCTTTTGGTAACCTTACCTTTTATTCTTTCCCTTTGCCCTTTTTTAATTCTGTATTCCCTCAAAAGTTCAAAATTTAAAAAAATTAAAAAAGAGAAAGTGGATGCAGGTGGACCCAGAGAAATGGGGCAAAAAGCTGCCCCCACCTCCCTTTGCACTAGCAAGAGCAGGGTGGGAGGGAAATTGGGAGCTCTTTCTCCCCCATCGCAGCACCAAATGAACAAGCGCTTTTAAAAGCGAGTTCCACCAATGTATAGCTGACTGTGGTTGCAAACCCGTGACCCAGCACAGGTCAGGCGGATTTTTGTTGCTCTCCTGTCAGCTGGGCTTCGACAAGCCACTGAGTTTCAACTTCATATTACATGGCAACACCAGGATAAAACATACCAGCCTAATCTTCAGGGCTGTAATAGGGATCACTGAGACAATGTATGTACAGTAAGGCTGCCCGCTGAGTTGAGAAATACCTGGAGATTTGGGGGTTGGAGCCTGAGGAGAGCAGGTTACTGGGAGGGGAGGGACTTCGATATAATGCCGCAGAGTCCACTTCCACAGTGGCTGTTTCCTCCAGGTGAACTGATCTCTGTTGCCTGGAGATCAGTTGTAATAGCGGAAATTCTCCAGCCACCACCCGGAGGTTGGCAACTTTAATGTAAAGCCAACTATGAACATACATTGTTTGTGGGCTCTAATTATTGTTATTCCAGACAAAAGGCGGGGATTCGGCAGGTCCCATAGACAAAAAAAGTCATAAGAACATAAGAGACGCCAATGTTGGATCAGGCCAAAGGCCCATCCAGTCCAACACTCTGTCACACAGTGGCCAGAAATACCAGGTGCCATCAGGAGGTCCACCAGTGGGGCCAGGACATTAGAAGCCCTCCCACTGTTGACCCAAGCACCAAGAAGACAGAGCAGCACTGTTGACCCAAGCACCAAGAAGACAGAGCAGCACTTGCCCCAGAGCCCCTATCTATACCTTGTGGCTAATAGCCACTGAAGGACCTCTGCTCCATATGCTTATCTAATTCCCTTTTGAAGCCGTCCATGCTTGTAGCCGCCACCACTTCCTGTGGCAGTGAATTCCAAGTGTTAATCCAAATACGTGAGGCAATAGCAGGGGAAAGCCTTGGTCTCTCAATGTCCTGTTGTTGGCTGGCCAGAGGAACTGGTTGGCTACTGTGTGAGACAGGAGGCTGGACCAGAGGGACCACTGGGTCTGATGCAGCAGGGCCTGTCTTATGTACTTATCTGTTCAGCACTATCACCCCCAGTGCTCCCTCTAAGGTGTGGAGTCTTGTGAGCAAAAACTCTACTTTGTGAGCCTACTAGCATTAAATTTGTGAGTGAGCGATTTGGCTACTGCATCAGTTTGCTCTGGAGTCCTCCTTCCTGAGCTAAGAGAAAATTGTGTGAGCTGGAGGCTAAAAAACTGTGAGCTAGCTCACACTAACTCAGCTTAGAGGGAACACTGATCACCCCCATATCCCAAAGGGCAAAATCCAAACTCTCTTAACTCTCTTAGCAAAGTAGGCTCGTATTCCTTTTCTGCCCACGCGCCTTGCTAATCGGTGTGATTCCTAGCCACGTTCCATATACATAAAGGTAAAGGTCCGACTCTAGGGTTGCCGTGCTCATCTCCGTTTCAAAGCCGAAGAGCCAGCGCTGTCCGAAGATGTTTCCGTGGTCATGTGGCCGGCATGACTAAACACCAAAGCGCACAGAACGCTGTTCCCTTCCCACCGAAGTGGTACCTATTTATCTACTTGCAATTTCTTGCTTTCGAACTGCTAGGTTGGCAGGAGCTAGGGCCAGAGACGGGAGCTCACTCCGTCATGCGGCACACTCAGGTCTCGAACTGCTGAACTACTGACCTTCCACAGCCTGCAGTTCAGCGTCTTAACCACTTGAGCCACCGCAGCTCCATATACATAGCTTGGTAGAAATGGTTTCTAGTGGCAGCTAATTTTCTGTTACTTGCCTAGATTCAAGTCCAGGAGCAACTAAGAGACCAACAAGATTTTTTTTTTGGGGGGGGGTACACTTTTGACTCTTGAAAGCTTATACTCTCCAAAATCTTGTTGGACTCTCAAGAGCTCCTGCCTGGACTTGAATTTAGCTGTTCTACTGCAGACGAGCACGGCTGCCCTTGGAATTCCAAAACTATCTTCATTATAATTGGCTGCGCCTGTTACAAGAACGGGCATTTGGCAAGAGTTCTCCTGGAGAGGAAGAAGCAGAAACTCCCGAGCCCTGTAAAGTCTGGTACAATTGATTTTCTGCTTCGCATAGCTAATCACAGTCATCCTACTTTAGGGTGGCTGGGGCTAGGAAGAACGTGTTTGTCTGATAGAACTATCGTTTTTGAACTGCTGCCAGTGCCATCCGTTATAAAATAAAGCCTTGCATATGCCTTTGTGAAGTGAAAACCACTGAGTTTTACATGGCATTCTCTCCCCCCCCCCCGTTTTCCCCACACACACACACCACCCATCAAGTTATTAGTGGGCTTTTGAGTCAAGAATCCATTTTAGCACATTGCTCATTACAGGGCTAAGCCTTCGCCAGCAAGTCAGTGGATCGCTCAAAGGTAAATTTTTTCAAAGCTTTGTGGCGTAGTGGTTAACAGTGGCAGACTCTAATCTCAAAGCCAGTGTGGTGTAGTGCAGCATTCTAATCTGGAGAACCGGGTTTGATTCCCCACTCCTCCAGATGCAGCTGCTGGGTGACCTTGGGTCAGTCACGGTTCTCTCAGAGCTGTTTTCTCAAGAGCAGTTCTCTCAGAGCTCTCTCAGCCCCACCAACCCACAGGGGTCTGTTGTGGGGAGAAGAAGGGAAGGAGATTGTAAGCCACTCTGACACTCCAAGTGAAGGGCAGGGTATAAATCCAATCTCCTCCTCCTTCTATTTAAAAAAAACTCCACCAAAGGGGGGATGCATACAGAAGCCTTGATACCACTGCCTAAATGCTCTTCTGCCCTTTCCCAACTGGTTTTTTTTTGGGGGGGGAGGTAACATCCAGGCTAAAGAAGGATTGTGGGAAACTTGGCACACTATTTCATAGTGCTTTGGCTTAACAGAAAGTCATTACGTGGCTTGTGGTTTGGGGGTTGTGCTGGATAATATTGATGTTGACCACAATATTGGTGAGGTCAGACTGAATTCAGAAGGAGAGGATAAGTCAGCAGAAGTAGCAGCATCAGCCCGCGGGGGGGGGGGGGGGCTAACCAAGGGGTGAATAACAAAGAGCGCAGAAG